GGCCAACGGATCCCAAGTATTCTGCGTAGACAGCTGTTAATAAACACTTGTGTCTTCTGAATGAATGCTTCCGTAGTTCTCCAGGTTTCCGCCCCATACAGTAGAACTGTTTTGACATTTGTACTGAAAATTCTGACCTTGGTGTTCGTTGACAGTTGTTCTGAGTTCCAGATGTTCTTCGATTGTAGATATGCTGCTCTTGCTTTGCTAAACGGAACTAAACTACGTAAATAATTTGTTTTTTTTTTCTAGACAAGTAAATTTATTTTTTTAAAATTAAAATCCATCTGACATATGTTTTCTTATAAATTTAAAGTTTGTAAAAGAGTCTATAATCTTAATCAGGATGAGAGATAATTTAAAATTGAACGACTCGGAATGTATGAAATTCTATTCAGTGATGCTCTGTTCTCAGCTACAAAATAGTGTTGATAACATTCAGCTTGCAAAATACTATAGAATACTGACAATTGTTTGGTAAATATTGTACTTTGCATTTATCAGCAGATAGTCATCATTTTCAAATCTATTTATCTCTCTTGGTTAAATCATTTTAAACAAATTCGAACCTTCTATCACCAAAATATTTCACACTTGAGACCTTGATAACTGAAAAAACTGGTAGACATAGACTTTGTTACATAAGTATATCATTTGAAAATCAACGACTAATCAGCAGATGCCCAAATGTAATACATTCTTACACGACAATGAATGTCCTTCAACCTTGTTGCAAATTATTCTATTAATCCTATTAAACCCTACTACCTTATGGGATTAATTATACTTTAGTATTTCAAAATTACAAAGTATAAATATTTTATTAACACTTTATTAAACGTTATGTTACCCTTTTAATATTATGTGCATGGAGATGATAATATTTATTCTCTATTAAATGATGAAGACAGTATGTTTGTTAGAGATAAATGACTAATATTACAACTCATTATTTTGACGAAAACTCTTAATTGATAAAGAAGCAAGAAGTAATTTACAGGGAAAGTAACAGGTTTCGGAATTTATATCCTAAACATAAGAATAAAAACGATGAAGTAATAATTTGATATCGTATTTAGTATCCATATAATATTGTATAGTAGATACTTCTTAAGATTAACCTACTTAAATATAATTTCTGGGTTAAGAGTTCTTCTTTTAGTACTTATGCTATCCACTTATTGTTAGAGAATTAATTGTAAGCGTCTAGAATAAAGAACTTCTTTTATGCTCCTGTTGTTTTATGACCAATATTGAATATCAGTTATTATTATCTGAATGAGACTATTACTACAGATTATTTCTACAATGTTTTAACAATTAGAAAGGCTACATTTTAATGTAAAATCTAGCTTGATGCTTTTTAATCCTACTTTGCACCTTGAATTTAGTTTTCCTGGAACTACTATGTTTACTGGTGGTGTAAATGTTAAATTTTACAATAGTGTAATTTATTTTCACTCAAGCGTTTTGTAATCGACTAATCTCAAATATTTAAACAAGTTTAAAATTAATTATTTGAGTAATATTATTATTCCTGTGCACGAAACTAAACGAGTTATACAATTTATTATCTGAATTCCCATATATAAAGTGATATTTTTTGTGGTATCGTATTTTCTTCAAACTAAAAACTATATTTATGAGCAAAGATGGATAGTGGCTACCAGTGGAATCCAGGACGCGCGTTTCGTCCTGTTTGGGACTCGTCAGCTGGATGTACCTGCATCTCAGGGTTGATGTTCACTCTGGGACTCGAACTCAGTACCATTCGCTTCAAAAGCCATCGCGTTATCCACTTAGCTACTGAGTCCTGATAGCCACTTGTTTGTGCAATGGGGTGAAGTTTAATTACTTTGATGAAAAATTTGGCGCCGAGTATAGAGAAGTCAATATACGTGAAATTTATATTTGAAATAAACTCAGAGATTGAAATTTAAATAAATAATTCCAACGTTTCGTCCAACAAACTTGTATGAACTTCTTCAAAGTAATAATAATACCTCATATTATTGGGACAAATCTATGTTTTGACTAAAACACCATACTTTTATTTTAAAAGAAACAGTATTAAAAGCTATAAATCTAACATATTTCTATATTAGTAATGTTGAGTCAAATTTATTTGTCTAATTAAACAGTGCTTTATGTAATTAAAATAAAAATTAATTTGAATATTCACTACTTGCAACAATTCAAAGTGCTTGCTAGTTAAATTGTATGAATTCAGTAGTATTTAGCACCTTTTATTGACAGGAAATAATTTTATGATTCAATATTTATTTGATATAGAATTTTATGGTTTAAGTCGATAATAGTCGTAAGCATTGAAAGAAAACAAGAATAATTGATAATTTATTCAAGAATAGAATAATAACAAACATTCATTCAACTATCATTAGAACATAAACAAAGAAAAGGAAAACATTGTGAAGGTGATAATGATTGTATAAGTATTATACAATCACAGAATTGTCTTTATTTTATTCAAACAAAAGAAAAGAAATTGTGTCATTTACTTTTTGTAAATATCATGAATCGAGAAAGAAAATCAAATTTGTAAGTAAATAATTTTTTTTTAATAGTTGAGATCATGAGTCAATTGAAACTAGATCATCATAGAAAACTTGAAAGCACTAGACAACTTTTTATTTATTTATTCCTATTGTGAGATTTCTCAGCAGTGTGCATCCAGGATCGTCCAATACTTCCAGGTTTTCCATGGTAAATTTAACCACTAAAATTGCTATAACTTTCACCCCCCCCCTGGAAATAGTTTTTTTTTGTTAGTGAAAAACAAACTACCGTATTATTCATTTAGTCAAATTAAAATTAAAATAATAATAATAGAAACTATGAAAGATTTATTCTATGGATCATTTTGTTTATTTGCTTAGATGACTATTTTAATTATCTTTATATCTTTCTAAATTTGATCCATTATAGAATAGATAAGTCGTTTCACTGTCATTTATAATTAAAAGATAAATAGGATCTTTTAAAAGTTTCAATATAATTGTATAATGTTTTGTTTTATTATCAACAATCATATATATGTATATAATAAATTTAATTTGTTTAGTTATTGTCCTTAGATGTCTATTCACTTGCTCTAAAGTAATAATTATTACAAGGTTAATAATGGTAGTAATAAAAGTAGTCGTTTAGTCAATATTGACTTAATGTACAAAGAGTATGTAATCAGACACACACACACACACGTAAAAATAAGGTATTGAAATATTAAATATAATTGTTGAATTAAATGTTTATTATGTAAGTAAATACATGTAATTTGTATGCAAAAAAACGAGTTCATATTAAAGTAAAGCTAATTCATTCTGTTTAATGTAGTTAGTCATTTATAAAGAAAACTAGTTCTAGTATACAACAGTTTGAGAACTTGATTAATGAGTATCGAAATGAATTTGCTATGATAACAGTTAGGTCTTTTTTTAGGTGTAAACATTTTGTGTGCATGGAATTACAAGTGATCAGGTCAAAAGCTGTTAGTTATATTTGGTTAGTTTTTACCATTATGGCTAGTAGAGTTCAACTGTGTCTAGTGTAAGGCAGTTACTCACTTAGGACAATGGTGAAAGGTGTAGGAATATCATAAATTGGTCGAAATTAGACATGAACACCGTTGGATTTCAGTTTAGTGGTTTAGAGGTTAAACGTTCGCGCACGAAACCGAAGGTCCTGGGTTCGAGTCCCACGTGCAGGATCGTGGATACACACTGGTGAGGAGTCCCTTACTAGGACAAAACGGTCGTCCACTGCTCTCAGGTTTTAAATGGTGGTCTAACATTGATCAGTCCATGATATCAATTTAAACTCAACAATCTTCACAAACCTATATTGGTCATTATGTTTTCACATCCCTCTGATTGATTCATATCTAATCAAAAGAATGTTTTGATGAAAGATCCCGTTAAATGTAGTTCATTGTTTTAAAGGATTTGTTTTTAATAATCGATAACATGTTCTGTAATTGTACTACATAATTCCTAGAAATGACCTAGACAATAATTTCCACTTATTTTAATAACCCAAATATAGAGTAAGCACTAACTACTAAATATGACTGTCGACAATTATCTGACATTAAAAATGTACCAGCATAAGGGTTGTGGAGATTATTAAGTTTCCAACCATGGTCTAACATCAATCAGTTCATGATCTCAATGAAAAAATTAAAAATGTAAACTGAGATGGTGAATTACTTGATTGAATGATCAAATTTCACGTTTAGGTAGATAAAATCTGATTTGAAATTAGATGTATACAATTAAACTTTGTTTAACATATAATTGTCTAGCCACAAGTAGAGTAAATAATGAGTTCTTTTTCATCGACCCTATTAAACAGTGAACTAATTTTCTAATCTTATTTTACTTTTTGAATAAAAATTCAGTGAAATTTCTATGATTAAATGAAGAAGTATTGTAAGTAGTTTAAATGATGATTTCCAAATCTAAATAAAACACAAATGTATTTTTTAAAATCACATAAGTAAAAATTATTCTATGAATATAACGTGAGTACCTTAACTTGATAAACACTAACGGAATTAAACAGATTAAAACTGTTAAAATAACATTTTGAAATGGTACAATACATAAGTTTTGGTTATAAACATTCAAAAAAATAGTAACGGCCAACATTCAGTGATCTTAAATTCGAACCGATCTGTACTGAATTGGAGTTTTTGTTGGAATATTAAAATCAGTGTTAAGTACACCTAATTGATAAATTCCAAATAGAATAAAATGTATGTCTTAGAACCGGCTGATAGTCACTTTCTAAAATATAATAAAATTTCGGATATCAATTTTGAAAACATCTTACATTCTTAAGAGATTTTGCTAACAAACATTAAGAACTTATCTATTACAGTTATATACTAAGTGTTATTATCCTTTAAACAATTTAATCTGTAATAACGTTTAGTATAAATACATAAGAATTCTATGAATATTACTTAGCAAGTATCTTACCTGAGATATCCATTTTTGTTTTTGTTTCAATGTAGGTTCTATTTCTTCATACATTATAGGAGTATTTTCTAATTCCATTCTAATCTCTTCATTATCATTTGGTATTCTAGTTGTGCCTATCATAAACAAAATTAAACATAATTTTAATTTATAACTTTTAACAAAACTAAACAAATAAAAATCAAAAACAAAATGTTATTCAATGAATTACCAATTTTCCAAGAATTTGTTAAAGAAATTAAAAGACAATAGATAACTAATGCTGTTATAGACAGAATATTCCAAGTAGAACATTTATTCATGTTGTAATTGTCTATTATAAGTAACTATGCAGTTTTAATTAAAGATAAAAGTTACTATGATAAAAGTTCTGTTGATTTATAGAATGGAAATTGTTTTTTTTTAAATATTTTTTTGAAAAAAGAATGTTTTTGTTTTAGTTTCTTCTCATGTCATTGGTTAATTTTATTAATCATGACAATTAACCAATCATTTTGTATGATCAAATTAGTTTATTTTTATTCATTGAAATATTATTATTACAATTCGAATGGAAAAGAATGTTATACGGAAAAACATTATAAACTTAATCTTTTTCCCCTTTCCAATAATACTTAAGTTGTAAAGATTTAACTTTTGATTAGAAACTACATATGTGATACCAGTAAAGATGGATAGAAGTTGATAAAGACTTTAATGTTTTTATTAAAAATTTCAAGAAACCTTTTTATTATCAGGAATCATTTTGATATTGAAGACATTACAATCATCAATTTTTGTGTGCTTATGTAAAATAAGGGATAATAATTTTGTTATATTTAATGATGAGCTCTTGTAAACTGTCTTATGGGATACCATTGGTCATCTGTAATTGATCATATTGTAAAGCTTCAGTATATGACTTAGCTAGTATTTTGGTAGTACTGACTTTTTAACACTTGTTGATTGAAGTTCTTTTCATGAAACCTAACTCTTTAATTTCTCTCAGTCGTTTGACGAACTTTTAACATGTACGATTCAATTCAACTTTTGCTGGAATTTTAGTTTGCCATTAATTTCTTACTCTTATCCACAGCTTCAGCTTCCATAAGATCTGCATGACTGACGATGAAAACCATGTCCGAATAAAAAGCCTATTGTTATTATTTACATATCGTGAATATGTATTTCTCGAGACAGGAGAATATCCACTATCAAAATGATAGCAGAATTTATTGTACTTCTGTAGTGTAAACTTATTTGTGTCTCAGGTATTTAATTAGAGATAGCATGGGATGATGGTCATTTTGTGTTACAAATTGATGAATTTCACAAAAAGCGGATCATTTAATTTTGACTCACTGGTTCAATGGTATAATGACTCATGCAATACCTGAAGATACAGGGTTTTAACATGTATGAGACTATGAGTACTCATTGATAAAACACCCTAAACTAAGATGAAAGATGTGTCTAATGTTCCACAATTTTTGGTGGACATTCAGCCGATATTATTTGGTAATAAAGATTATCATCATACAGACAAAATATTAGGTTTTTAAGTGTCATTTAACTACGACAAAAGGCATTATAAACTGGTAACTAGCTTATTTGAATTAGTGGTAACTGTTATCAAAATCACATGCATTGTGGACCTCCTCATATATATATATTGAATCTTTGGATAATGGATTACGTAGAAATTTTGTCGGTTTCCGAGCTGTACTTTATAGATGAATACAGGTAGATCAACATTAATTCTTGAGTTCTGAATAATATAAAAGTTTTATTCGTAATGTGTTGATGAGTACTGGTTTTATGGACTTCTCCAAAAACATTTTCAAAATGTTCTTTCAATATCTACTCAACAAAACTACTTCTAAAACCTGTGCCTACACAGTCAATTTCAGTTACGTTATACCACAGCAAATTGTTTCTCTTTTCATTTATAATTCTTTAACTGACCTATCATATAAAAGAGAAAGTTTGCCTGTTCTTACGACAGGTTTGGAGCAATAAACTCATTTACGTTAGATCCAATTTCGGATAGTCACATAAGCATCCGAGAATAAAATCAATCTTAATGTCTCCAGCTTTTAGTTTGTTGTTTTCTGAGGTATGGTGGACGTTACGGTCGATAAACGCACTGTATTATATTTACTGATTTTCTTTTAAAAAATGAGATCAGACCGTTCATGAAACTCATATATATAAATCAGTTTCTTAAGTTGATATTCCAAGTATTAAGAATTAATCTTCTTATCATTACATTTTTCTCAAATCAGTTATTTTGACAAGTTGACTAACTGCATAGAGTACTTTTTGGCTAGTTTTCCGATAGTATGAAAATCTGTCCTGCTCTTTTTTTCAGTTCTTTAGCCGTTAGTTGATGTTGGTAACTCTTAACACTTTATCAGAAATTTGACTCAACTTATCCGCTTTACATTACATAACAACCACTAGGATTTAGGTGAATTATGCTGAAAATAAATGTTGATCAAAAGTCATCAAAGAACTATTTAACCGCACCCTGGATTCAAGCAAAAAGTTGAGGATAAAACTCAAGGTTAATCGAGGTTTTATAACTCGTTTCATAGAAGATGAAGTTACAGTTTAGTTGCGTGATGAAACTTTCAATGTAATCAAAAGATAGACGAAAATATAGAATAATAGAAATCTCACCAAGCTGGTAAAGAAGAAGTGAAAACACGCGGTGGAAGAAACTAGCAGATTTGAGATAGAGAAAAATAAACAATTATTTTTCTAGAGATAATCTTTTCCTTAATACTGTTCTGTGCAATCTGATGACTTTTTTAACGGTAATCAAGATTACTTAAAAAGTTACTGGATTGGAAATATGTTCATCGTATTGTAATTAGGTATGTTCTATTGTAATTACTAATTAAGTGAAGGTTAATCTCAATGATTTATGACATCAACCAAACAAAATTAGGCAAGGAAAAGTGAACAGGGACTGATTCGATGGACACAACATAATAATGATTCACTTTCCATTCATTCGAAGCGTAAATTCCATGTCAAATATAGACTGTATAAACTGATTTGATTTCGATGTTTTTCGACACTGGTGTTAAATGACTTACTATATTTTAGGAATGAAAGATGTAAAAAAAACTTAAGTTGCCTTATTTTACTTACTGAACCATCTCTCAGCTAAGTGAAAAATAAACTGTTATGGATAAATCTGTTGTTTCTTCGTAATTGTTGATTTTTAAAACGGAAAGCAGTATTACTCTTTGAATTGCGGGTTTGATTGCTTGTCTTAATATCGAATGGCCAAAATTGTTTCTCTTCTACCTTTAACATTTTTTATTTACACTAACACTCTTTCACATACATTAACTAAAACCCCCTAATTTATCACTGGTTAATAAAACGTGGCAAATGCGGTGTTTTGGTGACTAATTATTCTAAAAACTTATTAAAATCATGTAGTAATGAATTTGAACAAATTTTAAAAAGCTAACCTGTATAAATTGCTTTTAGTAAGTTAGTACATTTAAAACCTGTTAAGTTGTAATCTTATGCTTATTATGAACGCAAATGATCATATCATGGCTTTAATAATTCTATCACTGATCTACCTTGAATATTTAGACAATGAACTACATGTACTAACCTGGGGATTTTTTGAATTGCTAACCAAAATTTTTTAATTTCTCCATTCGCAGATCCTTATCTTATTGTTAAACAAACATGTTATCTTCACTAGATTATTGTTTAGGAAATACCAACCATCAGTTTCAAATTTACGTTGAAAGTCTGTTTTGTTCTAAGCATTAGTTTTGTGCAGAAATTGATTGAGAGACATCTCACTTTATCGATATGTATTTGAAACCCGTTCAAGCAATCTTTCATATTGGTATGTAGCATGTCACATGCTGTGTGCACTTCAAACTTCAATTAATGACCTTTTGAGTAACTTACTTATTCGTAGGTTAGTCGATTTCCTTGGTCTTTAGTTACTTCCCATAGTGTCAAGATTTTATGATAGTGAAATCTAATTACTTAGTTTCTTATTTTGTAGCGATGACAGACTAAACTGAAGTTATTTTGGTAGTTATCCTGTACATGAAAAACACTTTAACCATACGAGCTGTCGAGACAGTGGTGCGCTAGTCACAAACATGTGAATCAGTACGCTGGAGGATGAAGTGCAAAGTGCAAGACATTGAATACGTTGTAATATACCGCAGTCCAGGATATGAAGTGGATGACTTACTCTTGAACAAACTCAATTCCTGGTCAAACAGGCGTAAAAGCATTATAGTAGATAACTTTAATGCACTCTCTATAAACTGGGAAAACCTAGAAGTAGGGTCATCGAGAACATCGTCTGATCACAAAATTTTAAAAGCCACAATCGACCTAGTTTTATTCCAGTACATTAGACATTTCAGGACATATAATCTACAAAACTCTCCGTCAGTCTTGAGCTTACTCTTTACACAAAGCAATGATATCATTCAGATAACGTTCCTCCTATCTATCGGTAGAAGTGATCATGTGGTTTTCTTACTCAAATAGCCTGTCTATGAGTTATGCCGCCTTGTCCTAACTCATGGAAGGCAGAAATCAAAGCGATCAACACTGCAGCTTCGGCTGAAAAGTGGAAAATCATCTCAGTCGCATTAGTAAAATCAAACGACTGACTCAACCATTTATACCGCAGATAATCCAAAAGAAAAAAAACGGCCATTTCTGGATAAAGATGTGTATATGATGTTTACTAAGATAAAAGTAGGAATGATGGAAGGTTCTTATCAAGATACACGATGGAACACTACAGGTTGGTCCGAAATAAATGTATAACCACACACCGGGAAGCCCAGCAAAAATAAGAGGAGCAGTTTTCATAGTCTAAACTCAAGCAGTAGAACAGACTGTTGTTGTACGTAAATTGCAGAAAAAACACAGCATTGAATTCCCAACCTAATTACGAATCGGAAGACATTTCAAACGATTGAGGAAAACCAGGACAAAGAAGAGGTCATAGCTGACTATTTACGGACGGTTTTCACCTGAAAGTTTCGTCTAGATGAAGAAATGGACCCTAATAAAAGTTGGAAAATCAGCAGCTCTCTGTGAACTTTGATCGAGACGACTTAGTAAAAGTTTTGGGCGCTTTAGAAGCGGGAAAATCAATAGAACAGAACGAACAACACCCTAAGATCTTGCTAGAACATTGACTACGGAATTCACTATGTCACTTGGTCAAGGTGAGTTAACTATGGACTGGAATGACGTAATTATCTCTCTAATATAAAACACGGGATCAAGACACTTTCCATCAGACTACAGACCTGTCAGTCTCATCAGTGTCGTAGTTACAATACTGGAAAGGATTATTAGAAATGCTATAATGACATTAGTGAGAACCGGAAAATAGTTA